AAAATGCACTTATGCGTGAAAGCTCAAAATATTGGGCCACGGGGTTGTTAATGATATGCGCAATAATATAACACAACCAACTCCTCTTTTGAATTAACGCACGAATCGATTACCGGCGGTTGCCGTAAGTAGAAACCTACAAACTCAAAAATCCGGCAACAACACGAAAATTGGCACGCCCGGCAAGACGTGCCTATCACACAAGTCTAACCCACATAATGTATCACGACTACTCCGGCAAGAGTAGTAATCAAGCACAACGAAGATAATGCAAATATAAAAATACAAAGCAAGTTCGAGGCGTTGTGCGTTGAAAAACGTCGAGAAAAATGGTTGCCGGAGTGTATAAGTAGAGAGATAGGTGGAAATGGAGCTCCGGTCACCGGAAAATGTAGCCAACGATAGGAGTCGACGGTATATGACAAGAAAATCTAAAAAATACTAACCAGAAGCTCGGTGGGTGCTCATTCGCCGAAAAAAATGGTCGCCAGAAAAGTTCGCCGGATTCCGGCGACGGTGGCCGGAAAAGGTCCACCTCGCTGAGAGGAGTCCGGGAGTGGTCTCGGATTTTTGAAACTCCAAGGGAGTCACCAGCAATTTGGATTTGAAGGTTGAAGTGATTTGTAGATCTACGAGCTTTCGCCGGAAAATCGGGAGCCTTCTCGCCGGAATTTTTTTTTGAGCTCCGGATATGTTGTCGGCGTCGACGAGAGCTTCGCGTTGATATATGATATGTCATGATCGGAGGAAGTTGGCCGGAGAAAGTGGCGGCGGGCGGTGGTGCGCGGTGGCCCACGGCGGCGCCGGTGTCTTGGGGAAGAAGATGGGCTGGTTGAGCTCGCCGGGTTTCGCAAGTCGCGAATTGGGGTTGGCTGGCGAGCTGGAGTTGGCAGGGCGCGAGTTCGATTTGGGCAAGCGAATAAAATGGTGCTGAAAATTGGAGGGGCGCGTTCGCTAGCGGAATTAGGTTGGCGGGCTGCGAGTTCGATTTCGCAGAGCGCGAAAGCAATTTCGGGGAGCGAACACTTGGGGGCTGAATTTTGGCCATAGCACTTTCGCTGGCGAATTGAGATCCGCGCGCTGCCAAACCATGTTCGCTGGGCGCGAATCCGATTTCGCAGGCGAGTGTCCATAGCTTAAGATCAAATATCTTCCTTAGGCATATTTCAAACATTTTCAACTCCAACTCCCAAATCAACTTTCGAGCACAATTTTCGCTCGATTCTTGGGCCGTTTTTCGCTCAAAATTTTGTTTGAGCCCAAAATTTTCTCACTTGTCATAATTCAACCTATTTTCCAATAAAAAATCTCGGCTTCGAGTCCCGTTTCTTTCTCCAAAATGACGTGTGTAGTGTGGCTTGCAGGCTACTTATTTCCGAATGAACACAAAAACGGAAAAATGCAAAAACCGTGGGTTGCCTCCCACGAAGCGCTCATTTTACGTCTTGAGCTCGACGTCCCCAACAAAAATCAACCGGGATCCAAGAAAAAATGACGATCATGCCACGCCTTCGTATTCTCCAAAAGAAACCGATTCGGTAGCACGGAACAAAGGCGGGCAAGGTAAGCTCTCGTGGCCGCATTCTTGTGAAACCGAGCACGGATTTCGACAACCAACAAGAGAAGAGATAGATCTTTACGCATCACGACCCCATACTCGACCTCCGAAAATATAAAAATATCTGTGGAGCACGTCGAATCAATCCCGGGCGTCGTTTGCACTATCTCGAACGTGTACTCATCATGTTCAAGCATCGGGAGCATGAGCATAGGCACACTAAACTCCTCCGAATGGTCACGGTCCTCAATAATACGAAACGACGACCCAAAGGACATGGGAACCACATCATACTCAATATCATAAGTCGACTCATCAATTAACTCACACCTCGGGTCAACGACATCACATAATAGCTCGGAATCCTCCTCAACAACATCCTCAACATCATGAACTACTACATCTTCCACTTCAATATCATCCTCCCGAGCACTATCAACATCGCTAAACACAATCGAATCCTCCAATAAATTTTCTCCCAACCCATCCACCATGTCAACACCTGAATCCATGCTCTCATCCTCAATAATCGAATCAAAGCTCATAGCACCATCAACGAAAGAGAAATTTGACGTACCTTTCGTAGATTGCAAGTCTGAGTCGTCAAGAGGGGGAACTTCTTTGACAATCAAATCGTCGATGTCCTCACTCGTGTCGAGAGATTGTGTTCCATCATAAACGAGAGTGAGGCCCACCTCTTTCAAGGAGGCAAACCTATCCACCATAGCTCGAAACTCGCCTTCTAACCGGATGCTCTCTCGGATAACCCTCGCCGATAGAGAACAATATCTACCGAGCGGAATGTGAAATGCATCCAAATCGAGGAAAGAGACCACGGTAGAGTCGAACTTCTCAAGTGTAGCTTGAAGAACGGATGGAATCGGAATGCATCTCCAACCACGAAATTCCTCTATGATCGACGTGAGGCTCGCAAGTGCCTCTTGAGTGCTCGCCAAAACCTCTCGGTGACGCTCGGTAGGCACAACCGTTGATGGACTTGAAGTTTCGGAGCTCAATGTGCAAGGTTGGCCAACCGATGGGTGCTCCAATGGTAGAGAGGGTGTAGCAAGGGACTCGGTGTTTGTACCATTTTTGTTGCATTTTTCGCTATATTTTTTGTTCTTCTTTTCCCC